GGAGGAGGGCTGACAAACAACGTGGGTATTAACGCAAATAGCTAAGGGATAAGTCAGGGCTGCAGTCAGATAGGGTAAGTGTGTCATCTGGGAACGGGGCTCCACCTTGTCGCGATTTACGGCGTTTTCAAGTCCTCCTTCGTTTTCAGTACTATCTCCAAGCAGCAGCCACCCGGGCTGTAATTTGCATTAAGAATAGCCCCCGGTACTTATTAGAAAACAATTGCAAAAAACCCCTTTTATGTGACCTGTACTCAATAAAAAACAGCTAAAGAGCACTAGTTTTAATACTTTGTCACTGGAATCACAGAACAAGGATTGTCTCTATTTGATTGGAAAAATAAAACGCCATACATTCAGCATCACTAAGCTCAAGCGTGGATAACTGAGATGTGCAGATTCCCCATTGACACCCTGTGTCTCTTCTGTAGCATTCCCGTCCAAGGCCACAGTTGTTCACCTTTCACTATTTGCTACTAGTTCACCCTGTCTAACTCAGCTTGATCTCTTTCTAAACCTAGTGTCTACATAAAAGTTAAGAGATTAACTTTTTTTCCCTGAGCTACAGATTAATTAAAATCTGGCTGTTAGCTCCTAACCTAAAGAAAAAGTCGAGGAAACATTGAACATGCAGCCAAGCATCTGCCAATGTGGCAGATAATATTGTGTAAAGCATTCATGCTAACGCAGTCTCGTTAGGAACCAAGCAATATCTTTATTATGTTCAGCCTCAAAAGGAAAACTAATGATTAACTTAATACCACATTTATTTTTAGATAGTACTGCAAGAGTGCACATCACCTTACAAACACAGAGAAGATGACATAGGCCTGCCACGAGGAGCTTACAATTCAACTTTGACAAACACTACCAAAAAAATTTGTGAACAGGAGGAGGTGGGGGAGGCTAATGCTGTCAGGTTAAAAAGAGGGGGCTTTCTGAAAAAGGGGGTTGTCCCAGGAATAAAAAGCGAGTGACAGAGGGTCAGGCACACAGAGTGACAACCAGCAGTAGGAAGGATGACAACATAGAGCACAGGACACTTGATAAAAACAGATTGTGCAGAGACAGGCTGAGCAGCACAGGTAGAAAACCAAGGATCTGTAGGGTTTATAATTAACATGTAAGAATACATCTATGTAATACATCATTGTTTCAGCTACTCCAAAGAAGGTAACATTGTGAAATACAAATCAGAAGTGGCTTTTTTTTTTTTCTAATTTAAAAAAAAAAAAACAAAAACAACAGTCCCTTCCCATCAGGAATCCTACTGTAATACTAGTTTCCATTATGAATATTTTGCACTTCTAAACTGGGAAGTAGGGAATACCAAAAGCTCTGCAGATGCAGAAAAGACTCAAAGGGAAAAAAAAAAGTAACAAAACATGTAGTATTAAAGATTTCATTCTTTTTACCCTACAGTATCGGCTTTATATTTTGTGGCATATTTTCCAAATTCATCAGCCTGTCAAGAAAGAAATCTACTTTAAAACATTTTAGTGATTTACTGACTTTTTAAAAATCTCATTATCCTACAATTTTCCTTTGTAGACAGAGCATGAAGAGGCCAGGCTTTGGTGTGGGAGTTAAACATTTCAATTGCTGTAGCAGCATTGCAGTTAAGTTGGGAGACTCAGCAAGATTTGCTCTTTTTTTTTTTTTCCCCAGACATCTGTGTCCAGTTTCATCTCAAGGATCCAGATACTCTATGACAGTAACTGAATACAGTTCTAAGTGTCCTATTAAGCAAAACAGCACAGATTTTCTCTGCTACTTTTTATAGCATCATTGCATTAGTGCTATAAAGACTGTGTCGATGGGGCTTAGGTACTGACAGCTTAGTGAAAGGAAAAAGGTGTCATCCCTCCCTTCCCCACTATTAATTTAATTTTTTTATATTTTATTTTAAATACGGCTGCATATTAAATGCATGTGAGAGTCTGCAGAGGCCAGGAGCAGTGTTTCCAAAAGGTGCAATCACCTTTACACAGCAACACCCTTGACTCTGAGGGCTCCTACAAACAGTACTTACAGATCAGCTTTCTGCTTCATTACATTCAGCTGGGGATGCTTATATGGAGGAGATGAGGTCTTTCCCATGACCAACCTCCTTCTACTTCTCATATGGATGAGGGTAAGGGGGTACAAGGGGCATAAAAAAAAAAAAACAAACCCTACAAATTCTAGCATTTAGGAATTATGAAAGTAGTTAAACCCATTGACCTGTATTTGAGCTATACAGGTAAATGCATTATTGACTTAAATTGATGTGGCTCTCTAGCCTTTGATAGCCCATTTATTTTTTCCACAAGGTGGCTCATGCACATAGAAGAGTGCATCAGGAATTTTCTTGGTCCTGCATCACTTGGCTAGAAAGCAGCAATGCTGTTTTCCACTCCAAACGTAAGTGATCCACAATTACATTTCCATAAGCATCTAAGAACGAGGCCAACTGCCCATGAAAAGTCATGTGTAACAGGACCATCTCAACAGTGTTTGTTTCTGCACCGTGCAAGACAACATTCAGGAGAGGCTGAATACCCTGTCCGAGGGGCTCACCCCTGCAGGAGGTGCAGCATTTAAGCAGTTATGGCACAATCAGTAGAGTATTTGCACATCTTCCATTTAGATACAGGGTTTTTTTGATAGATAAATTTGAGACTGCTTTTAAAATTAGTTTGGTTCACAACTGTCAGAGTAAATTAAATGCCACTAGATCAGACCAGTGTTTCACCTAGCCCAGCATGTATTTTCTCCATCTTTGACCAATTAAGAGACAGAGCATGTAGAAAAGTAATCTTTCCTTGGCATAACTTTCTTATTTACAGCAACTTAAAATCTCCCTGAGTTAGTGGATGCATCAGACCGTTGTTTAACCAGCCCCTTTTTAAAAAACAGTTATACTTCTGTTCCCCACTACATTCTGCAGCAATGAATTCCGCAGTTTGACTTTGCACTGCATGAGAAAGTACTCCCATTTGTCTGTTCAAGCCTGAACAACTAGAACTTCATTGTGTACCCACTAGTCCTTGTGACTGCAAGCCAAAGGCACACTTTACTCTCAATCTGCAAACAAGAGCCTGACTCAAAGGCATGAGCTCTATTCTGCTGACCAGCAGCTTCTAAACACCATGGCATGGCACATCAGCAGAGACACCAACCGCATGTATCCACCATTTTATCAGATGAAACTGGGTTAGAGGATATTCCTAATAAAGGGCAGGAACTAGGAACTGCAGTAGGGAGGTAGACAGCAGGAATGTTTAATTTAGCTGCACATACTTCAAAGGCAGCATCATCTCCACTGTGACTTCATGAAAATATGCCACACTCTGTATTCCACCATTTTGCAAAGACATTTCTATCAGAAATTCGAGTGACGTAAGAGTGGAAGCTGTCACATTCAGTGTTCTGAAACTGAGGTGGAAGTAATGCTGAGTTGGCACACTGACACCATCCAACAGCTGTCTCTATTTTAAGACACTGTGAGTCTGAGGACTGTGGCTCAGACACTCACCTGTCTGAGCTCTTACTAAAAAGAGATACTTAATCTGTCATTGTCATGTCACAAATCTCAGAGCAAGAGTAGGAATCTTCTCAAAATATTTAGGAGTAAGTAGAGTAATTTGAAATGCAGAAGTCTGCAGAAAGCCCTCTGGAAATCTAGGCAAGCTGTACTACTGCTGGTGGGTCTCTGAACATGTACTTGAGACAATGCCGGGTGAACAGAAAAATTAATCAAAACTCTGCCCCCTTAATTATTGCTTGACACAAAAGAAAGCTGGGAAGGTCGCTAAATCATCACCAAAGCTAGAGGCCAACAAAAGACAAAAAGTTCTAGAAAAGTAAAATGTTGACAGCAGGCAATAAGGCTGTCTTGGAACAAACACATTTAATAAAGGCAACACATTAAAAAAAATTCCACAAACGTGTAAAATACTCAAGTGGCAAGTCATTTCCAAACAAGTGACTGAAGACTAAAAGGTACCGTGGAGTAGCATCTGAACTGCCCGCAGGAGGCTGCCTGGAGGCAGTGACTCGAGATGGCGCTGCTGTCCCACAAAGCTGGCTTGTCATCCTGTGCTGGCAAGGCCACCAGCGAGGGACTCTGTAGGGCTTCCAGCCGTCCTGCCGAGGCTCTGTGCAAGAGGTCACCAAGCTTGCTATTTAGGGAAGGTGAAGGCCTGGCTGGGCTGAGCATCTGCACGCTTCAAACCATCAGTAAAGGAGTTAACACCCAGTTTCCAGGTAATTTCTTAAAGAAGGGTCCGAGTGCACTGTTGTTTCTAATCCCCAGCTTAGAGCTAACGGGGCAGTGATTGAGTCTTGTGCTTTTCCGACCAGACACAAAGAAGTTGAATGACTTACCCCCTGCTGGGCTTTGCAGTAACACAGGAGTTGGCAGTTCAGAAAGCACCACCACTACATCTTCGTAACTGTTTTCTTTCTGCCCCCAACCTTCCCGCAGCCACTAGCTCAGCCCAGCCCAGGGCATACGCTGGTGACGTTCATCCTCAGCACTGCACAGTCCTGCTCTGAGCAGGTCCAAATGGTGCAGTGGTTTAACGCTAGTCACAAGACTACAGAGGCCGAGCTACCGACCTCCACAAGAAGGTTAAGGGCGGAAAAGTCGACTTTAGACAAGACTTAGGAAAACCTCTATAAAAATAAGTAGGTTAAGAATTCCCTTTGTATTCCCTCCATGGTGAACAGGCCTGGAGCACCTTTACCCACATGTATTGCTCTGTAAGTCAGCTTCACCATACAATCACCACGTACTCTGTCCAGACAGAGCATCAGCATCGTAGAAGGCTCTTAACACAGCCAAACCGGCAGCTTTTTGGTCAGTCACAGTAACCTGGTGTTCAGCAGCTTGGGGGCTATTATCAGAACAACGTAAATTAGCTATGGCTAGAGGAAGATTTACATCACCACATCACCCTACCATATGTCCACAGGATCCAGTTACCAGACACAAAGGAGTGTTCTGCACTCTTGATGCTTTTCAACAGCAAGTCAGCTCATGACATATGAACACCAAGGTATTCGGAGCCCCAGAACTCAGCTTCAAGAAGCTTCTCTGCTTTACTAAATACACGCTGCTGCTCCCCTCCCAGGGTCATGTCGGAGGGAAGAGGAAGCAAAAGGCAACAAGTCTCAAAGCACTTCATCAGTAAACAAGATCCAATTCCTATCTCAAAGGTTCCAGGACTGCAGACAGTTTAAAACACTTTGCGGGCCGGGAAGAAGAGGAATTCCAGGCCTTTGAAGGCTTCGTCTAGGACCAAGCAGTCCGCTAGGCTCTTCATTTCAGTGTGGAAGGCAGATCCATTGCTCACAGTCTGTGTCATTTGCAATAATAAAAGGTTTGGGAGCTGTCAGTGCTAGCAGCCGACATTTAGCAATACACTGAAGCTGTGCTTGTACACATAGGAATAAAATCCCCTTCCCTGCCTCAGAAACAGTCTGGGGTATGTCTGGATAGACAGTAAAACCACTGGGTCCAGCTACACATCAAGCAGAAAGACCATTATGAAGCCTCAGGGAGGGAGGAGAGTGCAGCTTGCATCTGAGACAATGTCAGCCAAGGCTGGGGGAAGAGGGGGAGAAAACAGACTTCAGTGTGTTACATTTGCAAACCTCAAATTACCTTTCTTCCCTCTTCCCCCATCCCTCTATTCCCTCTCTCCCCAACTTTCTATGCAGAGACTCTGCTGCTGGAGAGTGTGATCAGGAGATAATTTAAGACACAATATCTGCGTGGCCTTTATAAAAAGGAAAAGTGTCCTGTGTTCTGGAGTAAGGAGTGGGAAGTCTCCTCCTGCCATATATCTGAGCAAAGCTCAGTCATGATGTCCGTCCCTCACTCCAGTGATGAGCAAAGACTGGTAGAGCCAGGAGAGAAAAAGCCTGGCTTATACCACAGGTAGAACCCACGGATGTGGTAGGAACCTGTACAGGGGAGGTTGTATTTGAAGCACCAGTTTAAACAAAGGCTTCCTCATTAGGAGTGCCATTGATTTTGAAGAAAAGTTTGGCATCATCCATCTTCTGTTTTTTTTCTCTCTCTAGCTTGCGTCTGTAGCAGACCAGGTAGATTGGAAGGCAGAAACCCAGTAAGCTCATGCCAAGCAAGCCAACGTTCACCTGCAGGAAGAAAGACAAAACAAAATTAGGCAGGCTAGGAAGACGACAACCCAGTCACGCATGCCGAAGTGTCAGAATCCAGCCCACGTCACTCAGCTGTGGGCAAACCAGGAGACGCCCTGCTCAGTGTATTGGCAACAGCCTCCACTGTATTTATATTTACACTCCTGTGCCCAGAGCACCATGTGTATAAGCTAAATCCTGCAAGAATTTGTTGCTCTGGATCATGGATGCAGGAGTCTTGTTCCACAGAACAGGCAGGGCTGTTTAAGCTGCAGTTTACACCAAGTTTGCTGACTGAAGAGCAACAGGCTGCTGGGGTGGGCACATGTAGCCTAGAGACCAAGGACTCTCCCGTGTCATGATTTTAATGATATTAAGCTACCCAGACAGACTCTCATCAAGACACCACATTAGCCCTACCCTCAATAGCTACTTGGCTTTTTGGACATTAGCACTGGCAAACCAAAATTTATTGGTAATTTATTGGTAATAGCTCCCAAGGGAACAGAGTATTTCTGCTGCATTTTGAGGTCCACACAGATTCACTCACTTTTACCTGACAGATTTCGACTTGCCACACAAACTGTTAGCAGGAAGCACTCATGCAGCCTTCTCCCTTCCTCCCTTTCCATACACCAGCATAAGGGTTAATGGCTTTCTCTCCCAGGGAATCATTACTCACACAGGGAAGGGTCTCCTGGACAGCACCAAGGTAACAGCAGACTGAGGAACATGTACAATTCCAGCTGTTTTTAACCTTGGTCCATGCACAGGAGTCCCTTTGTTTTCAAAGAAATGAGCCAAAATCATCTTAACCACCAAGCCTTCACATTAAATTTGAGAAGAACTTGCCCAGAGAGGATCTCCTTCCAAAGGTCCCGTCAATGCCATAAAAAGAGGCTGCTGCAGAAGGGCGAAAAGGGCACTGACCAACGACTGCAACCCTGTCAAGCTGCCAAACTGAGTAGAGGGGTATCTGTCAACAGAGAAAGCAACAGCATTATTATATGTCACCTTGACTGTTCACATCACCCAGATCAGATTACATTCCCAGTCGACTGACACAACAGAGCACAGTCCCAAGACAGGCATAATATGAAGAACTTCTCTCTCCTGGACTTATGTATAACTACCTCTTTTTATAGAGTATTTACCCCTACACTCTTTTTATAGAGTATTTACCTAGTGGTGTGCACAGTGCTCTCTAGAGCAGAATGCAGCTGGTGACAAGGCTGGAGCCTTCCCCTCCAGACTATTCTCATCCTGAGCTCTCAAACTTAAGTAATATCAGATCCAGCGCTTGTTTTGCAGCTGTACCATAGGCAGGTGGAAGTGCTTATACAACTACTGTTCCTATTGCAAAGGGAGAAGAGTGTTGATATTTACAAGTTAAAAGCAGGGCCTCTTTATCCAGATGACAGCATTTGCGGCTGAGCAATCATTTTCATCTGGTCACAACAATTTGCTCCCTTTAGAAGTGAGTGAAACCTGCACAACAGGTTAGTATGTGTTTTCCTTTTTAGAGGACAAGTCTGATCCTATGTCAAACCGAACAATACTGTTGATTGGAAAGGGCTGAATATCAGATACTGCTAATGGAAAAATAAATTTCAGGAACAGTCTAACATCTTTCTCTTTCCATGACTGAGCAGTGTTTAAAAAGGGTCAGGTTAAACTAGACTTAGAAAGAAAGAAGTGGATCAAAACCTTCCAATATTCAAAGAAGTCACATTCAAAGCAAAAATACCTCACTCCAGGAAGTTCCAGAGAGTTGCAATGGTCAAACAGGATTAATTTACAAGCAAGCTGGTATGTACAGCAACAGGCATTTACCTTGCCTAAGACAAAAGTCTTCTGCTTCTAGCTGCCAGGGAACCAAAAGTTTATGCATTTTTGAAGCAGAGTCTTAGATGGGTTTTCTAGTCTGGATTCCCCAGACACTGGGACCAAAACCTTTGACAGAAGGAGTCTGTGGAGTTGTGGAGTCTCCATCCGTGGAGATATTCAAAACCCAACTGGACGCAGTCCTGGGCAACCTGCTCTAGCTGACCCTGCTTGAGCATGAGGGTTGGACTAGATGGTCTCAAGAGGTCCCCTTCCCACCTCAACGATTCTGCGATTCTCTGAAAGATAACAGCTTCTTTCTGTTCCTCTGTCCAGCAGCTCAGGACAGAGGGGCAGATCTGTTTTCAAAACCAAAAACATTGCTTAATAAGGAAGAGAGTATTTAGATTCAGCTATTGACAATTTGGTAAGTCGGAGACAGGATGGATGATCTGTCCTGGGAAAGGGAACAGGCATCACTAATGGTATCTTGAGCAATACTTTACCAAGGTAATTTCAGAGCAGACCAGTAGCAATGTATTCAGTTATGTTAATGTTTTACCTGGACACATGCACATAGCTACTCATTGTAAGACAAAAAAAGCCTTGAGTTTTTACTATATAACCTTAGTGTCGATAGCCTAGTCTCACCTGAGGCCCATATACAGCTGTGCCTGTCCCACTGCAGTAGCTATGCTAAAGGGGTTAGCTGTTTCTAAACAAGGAAAGCATCAGTTAGGACTTCAGTCCAGCTACTGTCATATCCAGTGGTGACTGAGGAAACAAGTTGCATCATTTTTCCCCTCTGACCACGAAGACTTCACTTCCTGATCTCCCTCTCACCTGGACAGCTTATCATCCCAAACCAGTTTATCTGGCCAGCCACATATTATAGGTAAGCAGAGACTTACACAGCTGCATAGAGGCCTCCCACAGCTGAGTGGATGAATCCTCTCACGATTGTGTGCAAAATGAAGGAAAGAATCTGGAAAGAGAAGCAGAAAAATGTCATATCCTAGATAGCACCTAGGTGTGCCGGACCCCAACATACAACCATTCCTAAAAGCTGCTCTGCTTTCTAGTACAAAGGTGGGCTTGAGGAACCCAGAACCAAAACCTGAAAGATCAGCACAGGGGAAGAAATTTGTACTCATCTCTAAAAGCACTGCTTATCCTTACTTTGCAAAGGCTAACATATAGTGTCCCCAAGGTTAACCACACACAAGACCTATCTCATTTGTAAATGGCACTGCTGCAAGGACATGTCCCCAGCAACCTGTGGCCAGGGTCACAATGCTTTTTCATTGCACTTGTGGCCAATTTAGTTAGTTTTCCACAAATTATTGCGGACAACATGCAAGTATGAGCAAACTATATCTGCTCACCTACGTCATCAAGGCATGTTTAAGTATAGCATAAAATCACAAAACTCCTCTGCCAAAAACAGGTAGTGCCACAAAATAAGTATTTTAACAGGTTTATAATCCCATGGGTACCATTGGGCATAGCATTTGATGCAGAAATAACCTGCTGTATATATCAGCGTCATGCTTCTGACAGCAACTTTTCTGACTGTCAGCAGCTTAAATCAAGCCCAGGTTAAATGCACAGGCACTGCTGAGAGGATCTCAGTAGGAAAGCATTTGTCATTACAGAGCTCAGCTGCAGAAACTTCTAAGTTTGAATAAATTGTGGATCCACTCTGACATTTTAACTATAGCTGCTTCTCTAGGTTCTCTCAAGAGATGTAAACGGCATGGTATTACTTGTTTCAGCTCTAAGACTGAGGTCCCCAAAGCAGCAAAAAAGTCTCCCAGCAGTGCCAGAAAGCCCTCCTGCCACTAGCTGGTTCTGCTGGCTTGCAGGACCTCCTGGCACTGTCCTGCCTGTCATTTTGTCAGGACCCACACTGCCAGCCCCTCCAGCACACCCATCCATTTGACCTATTCACCTGCAACGGTAGATTAGGAATAAGACAGGTGATTCCAAATCCAACCAGCAGGAGATTTGTGAACGCAAAGGCATTGGTGGCATTGGTGATTTTCTGGATCCGACGATCACGTTTTTTCTTTTTCTTGTCACTTCTGGAAGGATAGCAAAACCTATGTTACAAAAAGCACTTTCAGCAGCTACTGGAACTCGCAGCAAGATTCTCCAGATATCACATCAACTCTATCTAAACCACTTTGGCTAGACGTCTGCCTAAGGAGGTGGTAGGATCTCCATCAGTGGAAGCTGAGGAACATCTGGGCAATTATTTCAGTGCTGTTACTCTTACTGTTAGGCTAGAAGGGAAGTCTGAGCTCCCAGTGCTACAATTTCAATTTCCTCTTCTTGACTGATCTTAGCAGACATGAGAGATAGTTTGGTCCTTTCCTCTGCAACTATCAAGTCTTCCTTCAGGCTTTCTTTTCTATACTAAAGAACCAATACTCTCTTCTGTCCTTCATCACAAAACACATTATGCAGAGCAGAGGGGGCCTGCTACGTGGCTGCATGTCCCATGTAGCGCACACTACGCACCGCTCAGCGTTGCTCTCCTCATTCTCTTCTAAGCCATCATCGCATTCTTTCAGTCGCCAATCCATGATGTACCCGATCACAGGCGCTGTCAGCAAGCACAGCAGTTGCAATACCCCAAAAATGGAAGTGTAGAGAGCCACTGCAGGAAAAAAGAAAAGATTAAAAAAAAGTTGTCAGTCCAAGTGGTACCATAGCAGCAACAGGAAAAAAAAAGAGACAGAAAAGAAACTGTTCCTCCCCATTGATCACTCCCTCATTAAGAGCCCAGATCCCAAGAACTCACAGGCTAACAGGCAGGGCTGGAGGAGCTGGGACACCAAAGCCCCACTTCATCATTTAGCCTCCCAGAGGCATGACGTTAGAATAGACATACTGGGTGCACTTGCTTCAACCATTCTGATCCTGCGCTAGTATTCTGAGCAGCGTCAGCCCGACAGCAAGCAGGGCTCCAGGAATGGGACCCAACAACTGCTTAGTGCCAATGAGGTTTCTTCTGGCTAGGACCAACAGGGAAAGTTCTTACAAGCAATATATCCTGCACAGCCAACCCTGCCTTAGTCATCTCCTCTCCTGCCTTGCTGGGAGCTCCAGCTGCATCTTTTCCAGCTGGGAAGCTCCAGCAAGGACAAGCCAGGCTGAGAAGGTGAGGACTAACCCATTTCATGCAGAACGGACAAGTCTGGAGGCAGGGAGAGGGGAAATTAGCAGCAAAACACACAGAATCTGAGAGCAATCATTAAAAACTCAAACTGATGAAAATTCCCCATGTGTTAAAGATAGGACAAGTGTCTACATGGCTTGTTAAGGGAAAGCTGATGCCAGCAGACTTAGAAGAAACTGTCCCCTCCTGTGACTGAACAGTTCCCCCACCCCGCAATGCTTTTTCCACTTCCTCTCTGCAGCCCACGTGATGGATTTGTAGGCATCACACAGAAGGGCTGGTGAGTCATGGTGTACCACAGCTCTGAAATAAGGATGTAATTCTGAAACTGCCCATCTCAGCACAGAGTGCTTACAAGTTCCAGCAATGTAAGCAAAACAACCAAAAAGAATTTTAGTTTGTCCTTCCCAAAGCATTTCTAGATCTAGCCAAAGCAGTACAGCCAGGACTTATACCAAAATCAACTTGGTAATGGAGAGAAGTTTCCAACAAGCCTTTCTCTCCTATATGCTTGTAGCAAACCCCAGCAGGGCTGCCTTGCTGCGCCCAGGCATGGCACCTGATGATACTTTCCTGGCTCCAGGTGCTGGCAAGGGAACTAAAAGGAACTTCCAGCTCCAACCTCCAAACTCACATTCATGCCCCCGTTACCTCCGCAAAGGCAAGTCCTGAAGTGGCCCCACATTCCACCTCATTATAGCAACTGCCAGGAGAGACAGGTGGCATCACCCTCTACAAACACTCCTGGAGCTGATTTGCTGTTGTCTGGTTATTTTTTAATAGAGGGTAAGAAGCAAGCCACAATGTCATGTTTTGCCTCTTCATGCTGTTCTGAACACTTAATCTTGGGCTCTAAACAGCAAGAGCAGAAGGCAACTTGAAGCAGGGAATTAAATTTATGGGGTCAGCACGAGAAGAGAAGGAGAGACAGTAGTTGCTACAAAACAGGGCCTCCTCAATTTATCTATGATCTTAAAAAACATTCTTTCCGGGGGGGTGGGGGGAAGGGAAGAACAATACCTAGCAAATACCAGCAGAAGTAGATATGGCAGAAGTAGAAGCGTGGATAGAGCAAACAGACAAAGGGTGCACACATGGGCACAAGCCCTTACACATCCACTGTTTTACATGGCTTTCCCTCAAAAGTATCCTGAGGAAGCACCCCATACAGCTGAGTTTTCCAGCCCACCCTGATTCTACCCAAGGTCTCCGAGTATTACCACATTTGAAAGCAAAGGTGACAATTTACAAAAGATGCAGCCAAATTTCACAACTAGACACAAGTCTACTCTCTCCTGCCTTCCTACAACACAATTACATAGTCATTTACAGAGCTACTGAACCCCCTAGCTTCTCCCCCATCTTTGGGGGTTTTCAGAAGATAAGTAGCCACAGGCTGACTGCTTTTTCCACCTCTAGGTTTCATGACAGGTCTAAGTCACCATAATCTGCACAGGAAGCAGGACTTTCAAGGACACTGTGCCTCACTGCAACTTAAAGACTTTACTCCCTATCTGAAAGATTTTCCCCACATCCTTCTCTTCTGTTCGGCTCCCAGGAATATTTAAGTTTTCTTTGACCATAACACTTGCAGGATTGACTCAACTCTCCCCTTCCCTTGCTGAGTGCTCCCGAGAGCAGTTGCAGGTGGAGGGAGCTCTCTAAACAATTCACGTTCAAGTAAATAACTGCAAGAAGAATTAGGCATCCAAGGGAGCGGCATCCCATCCTCTCCTGATCCGCACAGATTACATTTCTAGAGAGCTGCACACATCTTGGAATTGCTCTTGCAGCCTGACACTGCTGCGACTAGACAATACCACTGTTTTGCTGATGCCATGGAAACAGCAAGACAGCAAGCGGACTGCACTGCGAGCCCAGGCTACGTTCAGGGGGAGGAGGGGGAAAATGGGAAGAAATCTCAGAGGTGGCACAGGAAAAAAATGCAACACACCCAAGGGGCACAATCCCCTTTTTTAGCTTGATCTAAACAGAATTGGCAGCATATATAGTTAATATTAATTCTAAAATACCAAGGAGGGGAGGAGAGGAAAAAATGAAAGAGAAATAACTAGAGCAAGCCAGGGTAAAAAGAAAGAAAAAAAAAAAAAAAATCAGCGTGAAAGAATTACAAGGTAAGCACAAAACTAAGCAGTGTTGGGAAAGGTAGGCAGTGTGAAGTTTGTCCTGTTTACTGCTTAATGTCTAAATTGGCTCTTGAGCCAGGAGATAAAGAGCTGAATGCTGCAGGCTGTCAAAGGCTGGAGAAACAAAGCAATTCAGGGAATGCCAGGGCAGTTGGAGTTTCCTGCGTTTCCTTCCCTCCCCCAGAGCTCACTCCTGTTTTCAGAGGAGTGCCTCTTGATTTATCAGCTTCATGCAATCCAGATTTAACAAGTTCAAACTGGATCTTACTACAAAGGACACAAAAAAAAAAAAAAAAGGCTAAGTCTTGTTTTGCAATCCTGGGTATTTTCAACAACAGTAAACTAATGTACTCTTTCCTGTTTTCTCCATGTACTGAATCAGAGCTATAAATACAGACGAGCCCAGTGCAGTGAGCACCCCGAGCCTCCCCAGCACACACCAAGCTGCACAAAACAGCTATGACTTCACTTCTCCCACCCCCGGTTGCCGGGCTGAGACACCTAGTCCAACCATTAGTCATGAGAGTCAGCTGCTCTGTACTTTGTGCTTGCATAGGATAAGCAAAGCAAATACCTGACGAAATAGGTTTTCCAATTAAAAAAAAAAATTATCGCAGTCCATCCCGAAAGGCTACTTTCAACAACCCATCTGGGGAAATCACATGGAATAGTATTTAACAGACACTGGGCTAAAATTAGCTTGACATTCAAGTGTCTACCTCGCTGCCCCTCTGTCCTGGGCCAGTTCCAGCCCTCCACTAGACCCTACCAGCAGCTGTTAGCTGCACCCTGACACCACTAATTGCCATACGCGGTGTATCTGCTGAGTAATCAGGCTCGCTGACCTCCTGCAAGGACCAAGTCTGGGTCAGGTACCAATTCCAAGGAAGCAGAGAAAAGTCTTCAGGTTACCCTACCTTGATCTTCATCTCCAGACAGAAACTCAAGGATGGTATTCATGGCTCCCATGTAGAAGATGAGCCGTAGCTGAGTGACACACATGGTGATAAGGCTGAGCAACAAGATAGGACTGAAGACACTCTTCATGAAGGAAGGAGAAGCTGCAGAAGGAATAATAGAGTCTCTGAAGAAGGCAATATACCTTCGTAAACATGTACAATTTCAGAAGAGGCTTTGGCCTCTGGGTTAGCAGGTCTTCTCCTAGCTAGTCATTCCAACGCTGCGTGCCAGTGGCAGCTCCAAGGAGTTCACAGTTAGCAACTAACCTGCTGCCTTACAAACTTCCATAATGAACAGCTACAGATGCTTGGAGTTTGGCTACCAGTAGCTGGGGCAAGGGGAACAGGAAGGAAGACTCACCTAATTCTGTGGATTAGAGCAAAAGGAAGCTTCAAGCCGTTTGCTTTTGCCATACCCCTGAGTAAGGAAGGCTTGGTCATGATGGCAACAGTCTACCTAAGAGACAGCAGTGATCAACTGCACTGTCCTTCCGCAGCCATACCAGTTACCCATGCTATTGTCCCCACCACTGGCAACAACATACGGTGTATTTAGGCAAGTATACAAGGACAGGATTCCTTATATAACTGAACCTGTATTTCAATAATGGTGGCTGGCGTGTGGCCCTGGCAACATATGGATCGCGTATCGCTATCTCATAAACAGGTCTGGAGCAGAGCAGAGAGGCCGACGGCCTTGTGCCAGCACAACCATCCCTGGGGCACTCATGGAACCACACCTGTGTTGTCAGGCTGGCACTTCACTTCTAGGTCCACCGTAGACAGACAGAGCTTGTTGTTCTCTTGCAAGGCTGTCGGCTCCTTGGGGCCCTTCATGGAGCTCCCCACACTAAGACGGCGCCCCACAGTCGTTACTTGCTTGTAAAACTGCTTCCCAGTGATTTTGTGGTCAAATCCCAGCCAGCTGAACTTTATTTTCACCCTGTTGGGCAGTAAAGAGCATGAGAGCTGCAACACAGGGTGGGGAATCAGAGGCAGCAAAGTTGCAGGAGTCAGAAAGGCTTTGTGTGGATTTAAGGCACTAGTTTCTGTCTACAAACCCACAAATGGTCTGAATCCAGAGAACAGAGAGATACTTCCCCTGGGCCAGTTTGGCACAGGTCAATATAGAAATACTTATGACTACTGACAGATCATTTTCCTTCATAATTTCTACACTTTGGGAAGTTCAACTTTCCACAGATATTCACCAGTCAAGACATAACACTAATGGCAGACATAAATCCTCAACCTAAGAAGGAATGGCAGCAATAAACAACATGCAAGGGAGTTCCCTGTCCGCCCCTCTAAATTAGCCGTGCCAGCACTTTCTAGAGGATTAAGAATGGGATTAGCCCTCAAGGCCAGTCTAGAGGACACTTACGAATAGTCCATGTCTTCTGGTCCTGGGAAAGGCTCCAGTGGCCAATTGAAGAAACAGTTGAGGAAAACTAGTCCTGCACAGCTTGCCCAGACAAGCAGAATAAGGATGAAGGAGACCCCAAAGTCATATATAACCTAGAAATCACAAGGGAATAAGGGTTTGGCTATAAGAGCAGAAAGATACTTCAACATTCTTTGAATGAGGTCTGAGAGGAAGCTGTGGGAAAGGACAACATGCTACATTTAAAGTGGGTAACAAAGCAGTAACAAAGAACAGTTCTGGGACATGCAGGCTTGGAAAGAGATGTATACGCACACCTTTAACAGCAGCTATAGCAACAACAGGATGTCCAGCTGGAATAGCATGCAGCTGTATCACAGATAACTGCCATCAAAGGTTTTCATCTAGGGCCTTCTCCTTGGAAAGCCAGCAGGAACTTCCCTGCACACCTGAGACTGCCTTACCTTTACTATATCCCCCTTACACTAACTCTGCAATGAAACATCTCTGGTTCAGAAACACTAGCGATCTACCAAGGCAGCCCAAGTGACCATTTCTTCTGTCCCTTCAGTGCTGTTTGCCAGCTCGGAACTACGTTCAAAGCCAACCATCAGTGTCAATCACACAGATTAAATATACACATGTGTATTAAACACACATATATATATACTCCTTAGAGTTTAAAAAAAGCAACCTTTCATTAAAAATATCTTCACTTTTTCACTTTTACTTAGCACCTTTAAAATTTTATTGTCTATTGTATATTGTCTATTAACAAACAGACCATTCTCTTTCCAGTATTTTTTGCATTCTTGAGGCAGTCACTTGGGAAGTCTTTTAACAAACGGGAACTGAATCTTGCAAATGCACATCTCTGAACAAGTGCTGTAACAAGTAGTCCCTCCTTCTTGCCACATTATTGCTAAATGGTGCAAAACTCTAGCACAACATCACCAGTCATGAGTCACGATCCCACGGCCTCACCTTGATTCCTGGAAAAGTCACAGCAGAGGAAGCATAAGAGCCAATCATCAGAGCAATGAACGTGGAACGAAGGTCACCAAACATGTTGGGCAGCTGGGGAAAGAAAAATTGGTTGAAACAGGCTGCTGCCAAGAGAAGGGAAGAAGAGGGAAGGAGACTTTCTTGATAAGACATAAAGCTAATGGCAGACATAAATCTGGCATTTAGGATTAAGATTTCTGGATACCAGAATTTGAAGCCACCAGTTTTAGTCAAGAACAACTTAGCTCTTCAGGATATTGCTCTGCAGGTTGCATTGGTGTCTCCAGAGTGAGGGAGCATCTACAGTCCAAGATTTATGTGCTTAATGACACTGCTTCTTTCCAGACTGACAGCATACTTTGCATTGGTTACCTTTAGCACAGGAGTGTTTGCTCCAGCCCTTGTGCTTTCTTTAAGAGTTCCTTACCCCAAGCCTGTAGCCACCACCTCTTTTCATCTCCAAAAAATATGTGCCCAAGTTCTCTACGTATCACCCTCTTTTTAGACAAGAGTTATTAGACACCAGCTGTGATTGCTGCACAGTCTTTAACACACCCTGTACCTTGAACTGCCAGGTTTCTTTACGCACCTTGGGTCAGCACCCAAATCTTTGCAGTAGACCAGAAAGTTCCTGTTATAACAAGAAGGAACAAACATGAACTGTGTTGCTGTTTGCATTTCCATGTCTAGCTAGGTCCCTGTCTCCTTCTGTGAAAGCAGACTCTCTCTGCTAAAGAGAGCTAAAGCTGGTCATTTCTCCATCAGTTGGATGGCTCAGATGTCCAAGCACACTAGCTTGGAGCTAGGTGCAGGAAGGCAATCACAAACACTAGATATGCAAAGCTTTATTGCCCAGCGCAGCTACGAAGCTGCTGAACTCTGCAGCAAGCAGCAGGCAACAGCACCTCACGTTGCTATTCCTGCCACCCACCCCATTTCGCTGCCTGGGCTCCTATCAGGTGTGATGGCATTGCTGAGAGCAGACCAGGCTGGTTCTGCAAGGATCTGTTGGGAAAGCAAAGCTCTCGGCAGGGGCAGCTAGAAGCAGCTCCCAGCAGCCACTTCTGCCACCTCAACAGCAAAAGCACGCCCAGGCTGGCTTTCCAGCCCCTGCTTCCACTCAGGACCCAAAAGCAGAGTGGAGCAGGCAGAAAGAGCTGTGAGACCTTCTCACTTCTCCTGGGAAAGGAGAAACTCCCCATTTTTCTAAACAATCAGAAGTGAACAGGTTTTCCATCACTGACTAACGATGGCCTGCAAACTGGAAATTACAGGGAAAAGCTTTGAAGTTGTAGGCTACAGAGAGCTCAGCTGATACCTCCTGAAGCCAGTCAACGGGCAGAGATTCTGCTGCAGGCAGACAGATTTCCCTCCCACCTCCTTTTTTGGGTCACTTACTCCCCAAATTCACTTGAGCATCCCTACCACGTCAGCCTCAGAGGGCCTCAAAGCAGGATGCTGTGGGTGCCGTCTAGGACTGAAAGCATAACCAGCATTTTATCTGTTTAAAGAGGCTGCTGAACAAAATGATTCAGAGAACATTAGACCCGAGTCTGAGCAAGCAAATGCTGTCATCACATTCCCCTTCCACTGCTGAAAAACAAATCCATCTTTCCCAGGAGTAGCGTATAAGGCAAGCAAATCTGGCTTGTGTCACGGCAGGACCAGCGTGTTTACAACACAAGTATTCCTGTGCAGGAACACTGTAGGATCCATCTGGCTGTTTATCATCCCTCTGTCTCACTGCAGAGCTTCCTATGCAGTGCAGCCTCCAGGTCCTCAGATAACCCCAGCCAGGGAACAGCAGCAATGATGTGCTGCTGGCGAACCCCGAGCAGATGCACACGGCGGAGGCAGAAAACGCTGCACTCCTCTGCAACGAGGATCCCCACACCCATCCCCGGATCCCTGCATGCGGGAGAGCTGCCAACAGGCTGCTTTCGGGAGCTGCAGACAGGAAACGGCAAAGGATCCAAAGGTCTGTTACCAGGCACAATAATCTCTCCTTGGAAGCAGTGGCCTAAATACACACCCCAGAAAACAGCATCTGCAGAATACAGTATCTGCAGGTTGCAAAAAAAGGCTAGTCACTGTCACCAGGCAGGGCATTCATTTAATCTCAAATACCCCAAACCTAAAATAATCTCCAGAAATTACAACAAACAGCTGCTCCTGCTGGGGAGCTCAGAGCAGGGCAAGAGCTCCACAAACACAGCTGCTTCTTGGCTCGGGCTGGTTTTCCCCAGAGATCACAAAAAGCCTTTTTCATACAGCAGGCAAGCAACTCCCTGGTGGATCCTCCTGCTCTGAGGGCTACTGGAGACCTAGAGCAGCCTGAAAGCAAGCAGTCATGTTCGGGAAAACCCAAGTCTGCTTCTGCATCGATGGGGACAGAAGTCCTAGGAAGGCTAGAGATTTCCAAAAATCCTATTTGGCACCAAGCAAGCAGCTAGATTACAAAAAAATTGGACATTTAAGGATATTTAAGGTCTTATCCAACCCAATCAAAGCAGAAACTGCAAACACTGAGCACTTGGGAGGAAAAGAAATGAGAGACTACCTGGAGGGGCAGAGGGGAGGCAAAGGGAAAAAGCAGTCCATACCCAGACAGAAAACCTCTCAGACTGCGAGTGCCAGCACTGGTAATGCCTGTGCAGGTCTTCTCTAAAGACCAGCTACTAAAATAACACACAATATTTACTAAGTTATTTTTCATGCTGTCTGTATAGCAGCAAGCATTGGAAAAAATTAACCATAGAGAGGGGAAAAAAAAAACCCCAAACAAAAAAACCAAACCAAGCCACAGAGCAAGTGGGCTCTTTGTTTTTCTGCCACCAAAAAGATCTGATCCTCATTCTGATCTTAGCCCTGCAGGCCAGAAGGGACTCTTCCACTAACTTCTGCCCATTCTGGTACGACAGCCCCAATTCCGCAAGACCTACAATGACAGAAACTCTTATGCCTTCTGTTTAAAGGTCAATAATAATGTATAATTACCTTTATGCCCCGTCTGAAAGATACTAACTTAATTTTGCCATACCATAACTGGTTTTTTTCCTGGAGTCCTTTATTACAAGTATGCAACCCTAAACGAATAAAATAATTTCCTCTTGCAGATTATTTCCTCATCTGCTCTAAAGTGAATTTAAGACCTTAGATCATTTTTTACAATTTTTTCAGCTTTTTCCTGGAGACAATCCATATACAAAAGATACCACCGTAGTATTACCGAACCCAGTTTCCCTCTTGCAAGGACTGTTTGAAAGAACAGTAGAAAAAAATCAAGGGATTGAGAACTAGACTACTGGAGAATGGTATTTTTGTTCAAGCTAAACTTTGGTTTCCCTATCGTGGGTATATTTGGAAGTTATACAGATATTAAAAATATGTTCTCCAGGAAAGCCTCAAACTGCCCGCTTTGTCCAAAGCATATGGAAATTCCTGTTCCCATTCTCCAACAAACAAAAGATCAGAGCCCTAAGTTTTCCTAATATTTCCGAGCAGAGAAGATTAAACCAGAGATGCCCCCCCGCTCCGATTAAAGGGCGCTGTTTGTAGCAGAAAATAAGAGCAAAGCAGCTGTAATTCTTTGAAAGGAAAACAGGACAGAAAACAATCTATAAAAGGCTCTTTGTGGTAATTTATCACACATGTTTATTTCTTTGCATGAAATAGCTTCGGAGCAGAACCAGCGCCAGATTCCTGTGTTGCTGTCAGAGCCACCAACACAGATCTGTTTCCATTTCCAGTCTTCACTTATATTGGCTAAGACCAAGTCACAAGGCAGAAATCTCCCCTCTGCATTTGAACAACAGGCACAGTCTGACCTTGTTCCCAGAACTGGGAATGGCACCGCTGGCTCACTCCCCCTCCTCCCCAAGCCACAACGCAAGACACCCAGGAACGGCAGCTTGCTTTGGCTCCGCAGCTTGCCATGTGCTTTCATGATACCCTGGGGACTTGTTACTGAAAAAGGCTTTAAACCCAAGAGGCAAAGCTTCGTGGAGCACTGTCCCAGGCTGTAATCCTCAGAGATCCCATTTATCCCTTGCAGAGGCACTGAGGATCCCCGTCTCCTGCCTTCCCATCAGATCACACCATGCCCACGCATGCAGGTGTCCCGGGAAGTTTCAACACCCGATGAAGCCCGGGGAGCATCCCAACCCCACACGCTGCAGGGGCTCCCTTCATGGCCACCCTGCTACGAGAAGCAGCACCCGCCTGGGGTGGCAGAGGACCAGCTCACGCACCAGTGGGTTTGACCCGTTTCCTGGAGTGCTTCAGGTCATCTGCAGCTGGCAGAAGGAAGTCACCTTGCTTTGATTTGTGCGTGCACGTGTGCGCTCGGCAGCCGGTGCCTGTGTCAGCCAGAACAAGCTTACTTGGCACCAGAAGTTGATTAGCGCTCACCGCCTCTGTGTAATGAACGTCCTTAAAAAGGTCCTCGAGCTTCCCCTTTCAGTGCTTACTTCAGCCTCTCCTGGGCACAATGCAGAGCTCGGTGCGTGCGAGCCACATCGCCCGGAGCCCGCAAGCCATGGACCTGTCATCCCCGTGCCCTGCTCTTGCCACGCTCCCTGTCTCCATGGGCCACGGGTGGAACGGACCCCCAAGAGATCACCATGTCACGGCAGAAGATGGCTCTTGACACACCAACTGTCAGCACCCCAGCTTGCAGGCAGAACCACGCAGGGACAAAACAGTAAGCTGCCAACGAGCAAAAGACACCTCCTTTGAACAGTCACCACCTCAGCTACGCCGTGATGCAGGTGAAGAGGTGCTCCCCTCCTACTTCAGATTATTTTTAATCACATTCACATGCCTCGGGTATCGAAATGCCTCTGTGCGGCTCTGCAGGGAGGCACAAGCAGCTACATCTGAATCTGGATTTGAGAAGCCAGGCCTGAAGCCACCTCAGCTCTTTACAAAACACACCGCTGCCCGGAGGGGATGGGCTTCACCTGAGGTCTCCCTGTGTGAACCCACAGCATCGCTACTTGCTTCAGATCTCCTCAAGGCTTGGATCTCTTCTTGGAAGATTTGACCTTTTTCCTGCCGCTGTACTTCCTTAGTGCTGTGGAACTGGCTCACTAATGAGGGGGCTAATAAGTGGCTTTGCTTACTTCTTCTGGTGCTAAAAGCCACAGTACAACACATCCAATATATTTCTGCCCTATTCTTGCCCTCCTTGCTATCATCACCAGTGGCTCTAAAATAATCTGTGACCCTTTAATAACCACCCAGAGAGACAATAACCAATGCTGGCAGCAGCAGGACGGGAATCCTCTCCTCTCCCACAGCAGTACTGATGTGCTCCTCTCTTCCTTGCTTTTATTTGAAGCGTGGCAGGATGACATTTGCCCTATAGTTCTTTGGGACCACAGCCAAGGCTTCCAGTGAAGAACACTACAGACGAAGGAGAGACCGACGTCTGCACAGAGATTTGAAAGCTTTGAATATACGAAAGTAACAGCGGCAGCAACACCACAGTACACACAGTGATCTGTAAACCCAGCCTCTGCCAAATTTACATCTCAGAAGTTCAGCCAGTGTCTGAGCCTTGTTCAGCAAGTGTCTAAGCCTTGTTAAATTAGAGGTAACCTTAACAGAAAGTTTTACTTCAACAGCAAGTTCAAGGTAATGCAGTCCAAATCTCAAAGTTTTCAAGCACAGCTCAAGAAGCATTGGTGCTTCCCAGACTCTTTTCTGGGAGACTTTCCACCCAGCCCTGTTTCAGCCACACTGACAAGGATCAGGGTAATGAGGTAGAAAATAAAGCAGCTACTTGGAGGATGATACTGCTTCTGTCGCCAGGCAAAAAGAACCCCAGAATGTAGAGATCCAGCTGACAGTTGTTGACCAATGCTTGCAATACAATCCATGGACTAAAGAGATCTAAGTGTGCTACGCAGATGGAGCTGGGCGCATTCCACAACGCAGCATTTCTAAGGAAACCTGGAAGGGACTCTCACCCTTCTGAGAGCAAAAGCTTTTGTGCTCAAGAACATCCATTTTCCTGGGGCGAGATGCAAACTGCGTTTGCAGAAAGCTAGTCATACCCAGCTGCAAGGGTTTGTGCCCTGCTGATTCTTCCTGTAGTACGTCAATGCTAAATCCAGTGCAAACACATGTCCAGCCTGTGCCAGGTAGCTGAGCACTGCATGTACAGGCATATGACAATTTGAGTCCTAGACAAAAACGCTTCCTTTTTTTCCCCCACCTGAGATGCAAGGGACAGATAAAAAAAAGGACTAGGGAAAAAAAAAAAGCTTTAGAATAACCACCTAGTATTCAGCCTTTCAGGTAAAACAGTGACTGACCCTTTGTACCAAATAAAAACATGTGCTATTCAAGCCACAGGTAAAAGATCCACTTTGTTCTTTCCTGTTAGCCCAGCTCACAGCCATAGTAAGGAATAAAATAGAGTCAGGTAATAACTCTTCACTTACCGTAAGCGATGTGAAGGTCATGCACATCCCACCAAAGCCATTCAGAGCCAGCGCAATGAATATGAGCACAGACAGAGCTGCAACAATGAAAAAAACCACCCTTAGCTTTTACTGGGGTGGAGAGGGAAAGGAGACAGAGCCCGGAGGGCTTTGGCCCTGACACGTGAAAACCTCAGCAGATCAACACCCTCAGGACATGCCATGCTGTTCCTGCCCCAGCACCCATCTCCCCAGGCACACGGAGCGGGAGGGCCAGGGCTCTCCTCCAAGACAGAGTTCAGGATGGGATCATCTCTCTCCAGGATGGAAGGGTTTCTTTTCTCTAATGAACAGACTTGCTGAGGCAGCTTGTCTGAATGGGTCTTAAAAGGAAGATTTTCTTGAAAGAACTGGATTCAAAGTGTCATCTCACTATATGGTCTTGAGGAGCAAGCTCCATCTATCCCTAGCAAGAAAGCCGATTACACATTGTGTGCTATTACCTATTTCCCAACGCCGAAAAAGCCATGAACTTGTTTGGAATTGCTCCTTTACAGGACCTGGCCCTGCCCAGACACAAAGCTGAGAGACCTGGCTATCTCAGACATTTGGCCCTTGCTCTCCACTTAGGGTTGTGAAACACCAGCCCTCCCCAGAGCCACTCAGCTCCCACAGGCCAGCAGATGCTTGGCTTGTGTCCTCAGCAAGATCCCAGTACAGCACTGGAGGTGTGACAGTCTGGAGGTGTGACAGTCAGCACGCAGTGCCAAGCTTGTCTGCTTCCCCCCCAAAAAAAAAAAAAAAAAAAAAACAAACCCAAGCCACAGCCCCAAAGCCCTCCCAGCTCAGCAGAGAAATGCCTACTTACAGTCTGGGTTACTGGCACCGTACGCGATCAGCACACAGGACACAGCAAAGCAGGCACTGAAAGGCAACCAAAACCATGAGTTTCTTACAGCCAGCCTTACACGCAGTAAATTACATATGCTTCTACCTCCTCAGCACCTCGTTAAGCAAGCGCAGTATAATTTCTGCAAGAGGGAGGGAAGCTGGCGATTTGGAAAGAAAAATCCAGGGAAATACCCAAATATTACAGACGAACCTTGCACAAGGGCTGAGGCAGCAACCTTTCCTCCCAGTACTGACGCAGCTCTTGCTGGATCCAAATTCCCTACTGGTTTTCCAGCACAGAGCTTTGCCAGCCCTCACCTCGAGGTGACCAAAGACAGCAGCAGCCTTCGTCCTGAGACCCAGCTGTGGTCACAGTACTCACAGCCTTTACCTGCTCCTCTCTGGTAGGGTCTGAGTCAGAGACTTGCCCTGTTTTTCCCCACTTTGGGCCAGTTTGGTTTCTGGTACGGTTCAGTGCATTAAAATTCAGCAGTGCTGGAGTCCACTGTGCCCAACAAGTCACTAATCCCTACATGTCATGACCGAAGCAGCAAACGACCTTCTATTTCAGGCAGAAAGCAACGTACACCACATGGCAGAGAAGGGCCCTAGAAAAGGCAAGCAGGACGTGTTTATCCCCGAGTTAACTCCCCAGCTTGCAAACAATGATGTAACATCTTGGTTTTGTGCCTCTCAGGACATAGCTCCCAGCTCAAGGAAAAAGCTACCCTCCGTGACTCACAAATAACTCCGCTCGTCCTCCAGGCTCCATCTGGCCGGGGAGCACAGAGCAACACTGGAGAGCTGAAGTGTGGACGTGAAGTCCCAGGCCCTTCCCTTATGGAGCAATTCACTGTGCCGGCCAAAATCATCCCAGAGCTGCTCCGGTGTCCTGTGCGTGGCCAGCAGCTCCAAGTAGATCCCAGTCCCATCCCTCATCCAATTCCCGAGGCTGCAGGGACCCTGCAACAGGCACAGCACCCAAACAGCACCCATCTGCCCCAGACAATGCGTGAATTCACCCCTCAGCTCGCCCGGGGAGCCCCGGACACCAACCTGCCAAGCAGCCGCAGCTTGCGAGGGCCGTACTTGTCCATGACAATTCCCAGGGGCAGCGTGATCGCACTGAGCAGGAAGGACCCAATGGTGAAGGCCAAGTTCAGCATTTCATCCTGGGCGTTGCAGGAAGGCCATTTGTGCTCTGCAGCTGTGCTGTTCTCGTGTTCAGGGCTGCCGGTGGTGTTTCCTGCACGGGATGATAGAGGATCATCGTTGCAGTGTGTTAGGATGAGGCTGGCAGCGTTGCAGGAAGAAAAACCGCACGCAGGGAGCCACAACACACTGGGCGCACACACCCCCCACGCTCCAGTTTTTTTATTATAATCAGTGAAAAATGGAGAAGGGAAAGAAGAGCAGCAGAAGGACAAGGGAAACCTGATGAGCTCAGCTGGGAGCAGGAAAAGGATGCGCAAGCACCCAGGGGACAAGTATCCCAAGCAGCAGCAGGATAACAACCTAAGGACAGAGATTCATTAATTTATGAAAACAGCTATACAGCAAGGCCCTGGCAATTACAGGGGACTGAACCCGGCAGAACCTGAAGGGACTAATACAAAAATAAGGTCCTCCTAATCTACAACTGGCATGTTCTCACAGATCTTTTCCCTAACTAAACTGGGAGCAATAACTACAGCCAAATCAGTTATTTCAGGTCCAGACACTGGGCTGACAAGGCCTGGCACAGAGCAACAGCCTGCTCAAACGAAAAGCTTCCTACCCTCGCTGCGGGCATCGGGCTGAGGAATGGCTTTGCAGTAGCCACCCTGCTTCCCGACTGCCCTGGCTCTGAAAAATCCTTCTGGATTTAACTACCCTGTTCCCAGGAGGGCTGGCAGCTCACCTGCCTTCTCCGTTTGTTAAAGGATCGATGCATCTTTAACTTTTGCCTCATAGTTAGCATTTTCTATTCTTTCCAAGTGGGTTTAGGCCATACAGATCAGTTATATCTCCAGCTTTCTGTTCTTGCCTTTACATGAGGAACTCCGCACGCAAACTCCCACGCTGAACAGAGCCCACGTTGTGTAACAGAGACAGAAACAGGACAGTTAAAAAAAAAAAAAAGAAAGGAAAGAAGACGTTCCCTTTTCTTTACAGCAGCAGTTTTGCTGCCTCATGTCAACTCTGCTCCTGTTACAAGCCTATCCCAAGGTGGCTTACAACTCCTCAAGTGAGCACATGTGCCTTTAGACTTCCATTAACCCAGAACTCCAGAGCACTCCACCTCTCCTTCTCCCAACGCTTATCTGACTTATAAGTAACCTTTGCCGGTGTGACAAAGCACTTGCTTTCCTACTGCTGCCGCAAGCCAGTGACATAAAACGCTCGCCCCCATATTTAATAATTGATCTGACAAAGTTCAATATTAAAGGAGGAATAGAGAGAGAAGTCACCTACATAACCATCCACATGAAGCAAGATTAGAGATTCCCAGCAAGCCCCGGTTAGTTAGTTAATTAGCAGGAATCCCTCATGTAAAAGTGACTTCACATTCACTGCTTGGTGCAACTTGTGGAGGAGATCCCCTCAGCTGCTCTTGCCCTCGCTGCGTCTCTGGAGACCACACAGCCCCATCTTGCAACTCCTTCCCTTCTACCCAAGCCTCAGCACCATTACAGTTACTGGTTTCACCCTGGTTCTCCTAGCTGCCCAAAACAACCCTCCCAGCTTTGTGTCCATTGCAAACAAATCGCGTTCCACCTTCCAGACATCAGGGATTAGCAGGAATTCAGACGCTGATATCCGAGGCTTACAAGCTGCCTGCAAACCTTCCTCTGTCCCCTCCCAGCGCTCCAGGGAAGGCGCACGATGTTTTTCTCCATTTACATTGCTCTCACCAACACCTTTACTAAGATGGTCTCAAACTGCCTGTGGGCAGTGATGACTGTTTGTTCCTTCCCTTTGCCATGTGCTCCTGATTGCTAACTTAATCTGTCCCTCCTCTTGCCCTGCTAATTATGGATAGCCGGAGTAAGCAACAGAGATATCCCCAGAAGGCCACATGTCCCATCAGCATCCCTTCTGCGGGGAGGACAGCACTCCAGCCTGAGGCTTCCAAGTCACAGCCTTAGAAATCAGTCCTGGACAGACTTGGGAGGCTCTCTGCAGTTTTCATACTACATCTCAATCTTTTTCATCCATCTTTCCCTCACAACCTCCTCTTGGTGTGGCCCAGGATCTTAAATGCTGACTTCTGACAGCATCTCCATGAGGCAGGCACAGGCATACAGCTTCACCCACAGCATCAAGGCTTTTTGGGCTCTCCACAAAGATAAATTCATAGGAAACAGATGTAGGTGAGAGGTTAAACTCGGGAAAAACAAGGTGTGTGTGGGGGGGGAAGAGTGACAAAGTAGTAGTGGTTTCCCTGTGTCAGCACTCTACAGAGAGAGTTCAGCTGTGGAGTGGAAGAAGGGTGGAGGGACATGGACAGTGCAGTGACCTTATAACTTCTGGCTGCACGCGTTAAAGATCTTGTCAACCCTCCCCACAAAGAGATCTCAAACCAGAAATATTCAGCATTTAAAGCTGGAGTAGATGAATTCCTGTTAATATATTGACATGTACAGTTGCAACATGACCCCAAGGAGCTCCCACAGCATACGCCTGCTAGCAGACCCTCCGATGGCATGCACGATGAGCAGCAACACCAGGAGACACAGCTCAGAAAGAGCAAGGAAACTTGGCCCTCGCTGAAGACTTGCTGCAGCTAGGAAGGCTGGGAACGGGGCACCAAACTTCAGTCCCTGCTTGTACCAACCACCTTGTTTACAGCTGCTCATCGCCAGCTCCAAGGAGGGGCCAGGCAACAGTGCTATGTGGAAATACAAATTGTTTGTGAAAATAGAAGCAGCCCCTGAGCAACAAGAGAAGATCCACTGAGGCGTAATGGAAATGATTCAAGCAGCCCTTGGCACCCTGGCATCCTCTGATCCTTTGAGCCACCTCCATAAATAGAACATTTTGGAGGGGCTGCAGGTGTGTGCAGCATGCACAAGGTCCAGCCGAGCTCCGTCTCATTGGGGAGCACAGATTCATGTGCCAGCAGGTCACCAGGCACAGGAGAGCGAGTGGCAGCATATGACATGCAGCTAGGAGGAGATTAATGGGCAGAGAACCTGCCTAACTACTCACCTACCTAATGCACCCGGTTACAGCAAACAGCAGTTTCCCTCAATCACGGCTCAGATCCTGTTCCAGATCAGTGCACGCCACACTGCTGGGGAAAGTCTCCTACGTGCCTGGCTCCATCTGCAACAGTGCTTTGGGGAAGGGCTGTGTCTGTGTTGACAGCGGTGCCCTCCCCAAATTCTCCTGCCAAGTCCACCTGCATGCAGGCATGCCAGGTCTGACATGCAAGAGTGCCACCCGGGTAAGCCAGCAGCCCAGGCTCGGTCCATGTATGCTCACCACTGTCTTGCTGTCAAGCTAGAAGAAGCTGCAAGTCTTTATCAGCAATTACAAGAACATACTGCCTATTTTTACAACTCTCCCCCTACAAGCAGCAGGATTTCTACGGCCCAATTAGTAGTTCAAGTTACTATTTAAAGAATGACAGCTTAGGTGAGAGGAAGGCTGCCTCAGTAATCATTTATGTTGATCTCATCGCTGGGATTTGTTCAGGCTGTTCATGGAACATTTAAAGTCATCCTTTCTCCCAAATTAAGTGCTGTAGGTTTCATGAGAGGGTCAATCATTAACTACTCTTTGCTGACCTTTTCAAATCCCAGGCACACACCACATTACCAGAGGAATGAGTCTGGCTTTTTCAAGAGTGACTGCCATCTCAGATGGCAGAGAGGAGGTTTCCTTTCATCCTGTTTCATGGATCAGACTGATCCAAGCAGGCAAGACACCCCCAGCTGCCCCAGCAATAGCTCTGTGGGACACAGCCTGCACAGCCTCACCTTCCTCTTTTTAAAAGAGGGAAAGAAAAAAAGATATTTTAAAAAAAAAAAAAAAAAAATCAGGGCCAAAAAGTCTGGGAGCATTGGTTAAAAAAAGAAAAAAAGAAAAAAAAAAAATCACAGTGAAAGACATGTGCAAACAACTGATCTGCAGTCTGCCCACAAAAGAACATGTTTTCTCTTTTCAGGATGGTGTCATACTTCTGGGAACTGGGAGGAGATGTTCTTGCCTTACACCACTGCAAATGCAATTAATCCGGGTTTCCCTCTCTGCCTGCCCATCCACTTGCACCTCCAGGACCCGCTCGCTGGGCACCCAGCTGAAAGCCTGGAAACCAGGCACAGTCTCCAGTTAAACTCCCATTCACTCCCTGGCTGCGGTTTCATTTTGCAGCAATTCTCACCCAGGGCCAGCACCTTCCCGGGCAGCTCTCCCATGCCACCGCCAGCTGCTAATCAACACAGCGTGTTTCCTCCAGAAATCGAACATCTACCACGTTTACTCTTTTCCTGTTTACAGGGTCGCATGCGCAGCCTTTCCACAAGCCGTCATCACATCTTACCAGCTTGCAAGGGACCTTCAGACTGCAAGTTCCCCACCACAGACCCCAAATAAGTAAGAGCAAAGAGCTGTAAGGCGGCACCTTCCTCCTATGCCCGTGTTAAGGCGCGTTGACCTGCCGTAAGTGAATTAGCTTATCGTCCCTTTGGTTTTCTGCAGCCCTGTCTTAGAGGAAGGGCCTCTGTCCAACCGGCTCCTTATCTCTGCTCTTTGTGAAGAGATTATCAAGTTCAAGATTTTTTTTTTTTTTTTAAACCATGTCTCAAAGACCCAAGCCTTGAGCTTCCCAATCCCAGCAACACGGCAGCAATGCAAGACCCTGAACAGATCAAGTTCCCCAACAGCTGATAAGGCCCGAATCCTGATAAAGGCTGTGGAATCAGCACTTGCACCGAATAAAAGATGCTGCTTCAGTTGGTTAAAGGCCAAGTAGTAGTGTAGTAAAATTAAAATGGGAACAAAGTGCCACTACCAGACTCCTTGTCAGCAAATTTCAAACATACCTCTCAGGATGTGGCCAAACCTGCCGCCCAGAACGGGTACAACCCCCCACTCAAACCCTGTTGCACAATTGCTTTAAAAATACTTGTTATTCTGATGTGGATTTTTTCCTAGGTGTCCATCTCCACCCTCACGCAACCGAGTTAAGGGTCCAGCAGACCCCACACGTTTGCACGGTGGCCGAGTAAAATCCAATCCCAGAAGCCAAAGGCAGCAGGGAACGGGGGGGGGATTCAAGAGGAAGACAAGGAGCCCTTCATGATTTGCAGTCACTTTCTGGGCAGCTGCTGCTACCTTCAGAGAAGAGCCCGCAGGAGGGACAAGGTCTAGTTTTCTCTTTCGTTGGAAAGCATCACAAAGTGCAAGACCTTTTGCTGACAAACGAAAAGCCCTGCCAAGAACCTTTGGCTCATTAGGAGAAGTCTTTTTTTTTTTTTGGAATTCTTACATGCACACAGCACCATTAGGAACAAGTGCCCAAAGGCTACTAGTTATAATTTGTTTGCACCAACCTTCCAGCCAAGTACCCACTCAGGCTGCAGGATTCAATAGATTATGCTGAGAAAGGCAACCACCGGGCCATCCTAATCCCAGCAAAGGTCAAACTCAGCTTGGTGCCAGTCATTCAGTGACTACTGCAGGGAGTCTGCTCTCCCCATGCTTGGAGCTAGGACTCTTCCCTACCAAATCGCTGAGATTATTACAATGAGGACAAAAACAGAGAAAGGAAAGCGAGTAAGCATGGATGAATGAGGAAACCGGCATAACTGGTCCTCGATGCTCATCGCAAGCCATCACTGAGTTCAGCAGTGATGGCCAGATATTTGAGGACAATGAGAACATTTGACTACATAAATTTCTTTTCAGGGATTAACTTCTCCTGCCTCAGGGCACAGGTTGGTCATTAGGAGGAAGAAATTGCCCCCAGGACAGCAATTTCACTGCTGTCCAAACACTTCCATCTTCCCCGCAGTCTCCCACAGGGAGAGCCAGACAGACCACAGAGCTGCAAACATGGGTGAGAAGCCAAGGTGAATCTCGCTGATTTGGGGCAAAGGCGGACGAACTGAAAGCAATCAAAGCAAAGAGTAGGAGGCGGGCCCCAAGTGAAGCAGAGCTCTTGTCAGCAGGGCACATCTCAAGAAGCAGATAGGAAAATGGCTGCTTTCAGAGACAGTCAGCGTTTGCTTATCGACTCTCGTGTTTTATCTTGGTGGCAGAAAGCCTCCACCTGATAGGTTTAATGAGATCTCTTACACAGGCCCCGTGACTTTGTCACCGTGGCTTGGCGAGAACGGAGCAGCCTTGAACAGAAGTCTTAAACGGTCTCCAGCCGCTCAGGACTCTCCCTCACGCAGTCTGGAGCGCCGCTGGAGACCTAAGTGGCATGGACACGCTTGGAAGCATTGCACTATGAGCAAAGGATAGGAAGGAAATGAAGCAGCCAAGCAACAGCTGGTAGAAAACTCAAACACGTGCATATTTGCCAGGTGCAGCAACCCAGGCTCTACAAGACTGAGGCAGCCGCCCACAGGAACACAAAGCAGAAGAGAAGACCATAACAAGCAGCTGATGAATGAGGAAAAAAAAACAAAGTCTCATCACAACTGTTCACAGTCACTTTTTGCTGGGACTTCGTTTCCCTGCATTTCAGATCTCCCACGCTATTCTCAGCCGTTACCCACCGAGAGCTCTGGGGTCCATGCTCTTATTTCCACCTCTTTCTTCCCTACTGCTTCCTGCTCCATGCTCACCAGCCCTGAATGGGCTGATCCACCTTCTCATCTCATCCACCATCACACATCTCTGGACAGAGCCCAAACACCCAGCTCCAGCCTCTCTTCACTCTGCTATTCCCTTCTCTGAGCACATGCAAACCTTCTGTCACTAAAGCAGCTTTCCAAATCCACACCACACCTTTACCCTCAGGTTCCTTTTAACTCCGCTGTCCACCCTACCACACCGTGGGATTCCCCAGACCACAATCCTCCCCATGCCCAGGCTGTGGATACACGTCCACCTACATGTTGTTTTCCCCAGGGTTATCCTTCCCACACCACAAGATTGCCTCCTTCCCTGCAAGGCTGTGCCTGCAACATGGACAATCGCTTCCTCTGGCTGGGCCTGAAGGTGGATCTCAAGCCCCCATAGAGACTCAGCCTGGTTTGAGCACATCCTAGGTGTTTGAAGAGGGAGAGGAACAAAACATCAGTAGCATTTACTTCTGCAACTTCTCCTCAACAGCAACGCTGACTCCCCCAATCTCATCTTCACCCATGCTCTTTTCTTTCCTATCACTAAGGAAAGGGTGCCCATAGTTTCCTCCTACAAACTCAGGACACCCTCCACACAAATCATCATCTTCCAGAACCCATCGGGCTTTCCCTTGCAGAGGTCAGCCAGGCCACCATGCATAGGAAGAACTCAGGACCAAATGGAAAAGGCTGTCCAGAAAAGCTTTACCTTATCTTTAGCTTCTTTTTCAATCACTCTACAAAGCAACAGCAACTACGGGCCCATTACACCATCAAAAGGATGCCACCAGTTTTGGGAAGGAGCGCACCTCCCTTCCTTCTACCCCAGGACTGACCTCGAGCTCAGCCCTACTCTAGCCAGTTCCACACCATCCCAGGACAGGGAACCACACCAGCAAACCTCAGCAGAGACTTATTCACACAAGTCTCCAGACCATCCTTACCTGACTCGTGGCACAGGTAGGAATAAAACCCTTCTGCTTTCAGCATGATGAGGAGGGACCCCCAGCCCAGCAGGACAGCAGAGAAGAGCAGGTTCTCAATGATGGCTGTGAACGCCATCCACCAGCGCCGGCGATGGGCGGTAGCAAGCGTAGGTGCCATTGCTGCGTGGGAAGATGGCCTCGGTCAGCGTCTCAACCTGCAGGGACCAGAACAACGTCCAGTGAGTCCACAGACAAAGCACATGCTGCTCAAAGAGTGCAAAAAAGCAAGGTTTAAGAAGAAATCTCTCTACTGGAACGCAAGCAAACCTGCCTGCTGAATGTAAGGCACTCAGGTGTAAAACTTGTTTTTGCAGGTACCAGCTTGCCAAGTTACCTGGAGGGATGGAGGAGCACAGGTGCCCTTGGAGCAGCCCCACCACGCGACAGAGGAGCGTTCAAGGGCTCCGTTCCACTTCCCGAGCAACAGGTATGAAAATGCAGCAAATATCAACTGCCTGGAGCCCACTGCCCCATCATCTGTACGGGGCAGGCTGCCCATTTGTAAGGCAGCAAGGAAACACATGCCAGAGCGGGGGGCTTCAGCCAGCACCCCAATCTCCCGGCTGCTTGCAGGCAGAGGCTGGGACTGGGGGCGCAGCCCCATGGCCCTAATAGTGGCTTTAGTGACCCCCAGGTCTGCTCTGCCCCACGCAGGAGCATAGATCTGCTCTGGAAGGTGAGCATGGGTCCTATATATGCAATTTATACCACAGATGGCTCATCAAGGAGCACTTTTTGCTAATTGCCAGACCACCCAGCTGGGAGACAAGGCGGGCCGCATCCTGCCCCATCCTAGCTGTGCAGCCAGCCAGGTACACCGGCCAGGACAGCCCGTGGCACGTGCTGCTCCACCTCAGCACACGGGCATCCCTGCAGATGCTGCGGCCAGATTAACTGTCTCCAGCTCCACCTGTCCCCGTCCCCAGGGCCCACGATTCAGCAGCAGATTCAGGAGCAGACCTGGCTGCCCCGGGGAGCCCAGAGGTGGGCAGCACCGGGGCCA